CAGCAGGTAGAGAATTGAAGGAGGCAAGGACACGGAGCAATGCCACCCTCCCCATCCATCCCCAGGCACGCACAGGAACCCTTGGCTCAGCAGGATCCCTCCTGCAAACATCCTCCCTGCGCCTGCCTCCCTGTGAAGCTGCAGCCCATGTGCCCTCACAGAGGGACTGCAGCTCCCAGCTCCTGGGGCCGCTGGCCAAGGACTCACCTGACCCATCAGCAGCAAAGACAGGGGCCTCTTACCGGTGCCTCTTGGTTGCAGTTTTCTTTCTGACCAGAGCTCTTGCCAGCACAGCCAAGCAGGCTAGAGGAAGCTTTAGCACTGGGCCTCTCTGAGCTCTTCTTGGGGCTGGGGCTTCTGGAGAAGGCAAAGAACTTGTGCTAACCACGAGGGTCTGAGTGACTGGAATGCTCTCACTGGAGATACACACAAAAAAGAGGAGACAGAAGCTTTGAGGAGATTAGGTGGTTTTGATGTACAGCAAAACCATGGTAAGGGGCTGGACCTCTCCTTGCCAGCCGCCTCTGAGCCAGTGCATGCACATGGGCACTGGGGCTACTTGGGCCAAGCTTCTTCACACATGCAGGCACATGCTGCCAGCCCTGTCCCAAATGCTGGGAGCAGGGGGCAGGGGAACGGGAGGTACAGGATGTTCTCACCTCAGGTAGAACACCATGTAGCCCTGCTCCTTGAAGACCACTTTGAATCCAGATTTCTTGGGCTGTGAAAGGGCTTCATTTAAGGGAAAGGTGAGGGCAAGCAACAGTATTCAGTACTGGCCCCTTTCCTGGGAGAGCAGAGACTGGATATTTTCACTTTGGGAGATGGGCCCTGGCAAGAGCCAATACAACCCCTTGTGAGTACAAGACACTGTGAAGGGTAGAAGCTAAAGCAAAGGTGGCAGCTCCAGATGTCTGGTGTGTGCAAGGGCTGCCAAGGAAGGTGAGGACCAGCACCAGCACTGCGTCAGACAGGCACAGCATGCTGAAAGCTGCCTGGGTGTGATGGTTTGAAACCTGCTGCTCCTGGTGGGTGGAGATCTGAAATCTAACCAGGAGCAAGCTTGAATGAAAGGGGTGTACACCTGTTCTATTCCCACTCCCCTCTTCCTGTCTTCGGGACTTCCTGCTGGGATCTATAAAAGGG